GTAGTAGCCAGCCGAGGCGCGCTCGTCCCAATCTTCCTGAAGGGCGGGGTCACTCGGTCTAGGCTCCTCCCCAATCATTAGTTTCAGCAATCCGATTTGACGGAAATAAAGTTGCATTTTCCAGGCCCAATCATCATAGCCCTCACCATTGAACTTCTCGACGGTGAAGTTTTTCAGCACCTCCTTGATCAGCGAGCCCTGGCTTGTTCGCGCTCCCCTTGGCGCAAAAACACCAGAATCATAGCTGCCGCTACGATCTTGGGCTGAAGATTCACCAGCTACCGCCGAGGTGTTGCCCGCCATAGCTACCTATATCGAGGATCACTATAACGCAGCTCTGATACCAGCTTGTTGGTGTAAGGGCCTAATAAACTCAAGCTATTAAGACTTTATCACACTTAAAACCTCTCCTCGGGGTCACCTCCAAGGGTCCTTGGGTGCCTGGTACAAGACCAGCCCCTATCCTCGGGTCCGAGTTTGTAGAGAGAGGGATCAAGAGGGACTTAGTCAAAACAGCAAGAGTACCTTGAACGTCGCGCAGCGTATCGTGCAGACCGTCGATCGGATTAAGCTGAGAATTTCCTATATCGAAGCTCACTCTAAGAGCTTTAAAATAAGCCAAGTTGCCTCGCGAAAAGTTCTGCCATTACGAAGTTATGGCTCGGACAGCGTTAGCCTAGCGTTGGAGTGCTAGCATACTAGCGTTGACTCGGGTAGCATTCCGCCGTCGCATCGCGTAGAAACGAAATTCCAGCAAGGAAGGAATTCGCTTGAATCAATTTCACTATATTCAGGTACAAACAGAGAAGGAATAAATAGCTCTAGCTAGCAAGGACCTTGGGAATCAACCTGGGAACAACCAGGGATGATCCCAAATAATTCCAAGCAACAGAACCAACCTGGCTGGACAAAATAGCAGGTGATAGGTTGGTGAACAACCTCTGGTTCTGTTTTTCCAACCTGGGGAAACAACAACCAGGTTCAGGTTCTAAAAACAGAACCTGTTTTGTCTTTGCCCAACCAGCCAAATGCTGGTTCCGCTGGTTTCCCCTGGCCCTGTAGCATGCAGATACAGACAAACAACATCCAACCTTCACCTAAATTGTACCCCTATAGTGCCTGCCCTGCTACACTATAGTCAACCAAACAAAACAGTACAATTTCGAGTTGGATAGAACTGAATCTGCGCAATCAAGTAAGTTGAACCGCAAAGCTTCCATCTTGGGTTCCTTTGCGAGCTCGTCCTTTCTGCTTGTACTGTTCATAGCGCGTACAATGTTATGCCGAAGCGCACATTTTGCGAGTACCTGCAAATGCTTCAAGCGAAAATTGCGAAAGCAAACAAACACACAAACATACCATTCACACGCAAATGCATTCGCACACGCATACTCGTACAAACAGACGGCAGGATGTCGTGCAATGTGAATTTGCACCCAACACAACCCGCCCTACTTGCCACGTCACACCCCCCCCAAGAGCCACGTCACCCCCGACCCACCTGAAACGCCTCGCTGCGTCATGCGCCGCACACGTGTACCCTTTTAAACAGCCACGCCATCCCCAATACTCACCTTCCGCCATGTCACACCCACCTGCATCTGCCACGTCATTCCCAACCCTCACCTTCCGCCACGTCACACCCTCCTGCATCCGCCACGACCACCAAACAGCCCTACGTGCCCTGTCACACCCTCCTGCATCCGCCACGTCACACCCTCCTGCATCCGCCACGTCCACCAACAACCAGCCCCTCATGCCATGTCACACCCTCCTGCATCCGCCACGTCACACCCTCCTCCATCCGCCATGTCCACCAACAACCAGCCCCCCGTGCCACGTCACACCCTCCCACCCCATGCCACGTCACCCCCCACCCACCTGACACGCGTCGCCTTGTCACGCGCCGCTCCCATGTATCATTCCAAACCGCCATGTCTGCCCCAACCCTCACATTCCGCCACGTCACACCCTTTTGCATCCGCCAACAACCCGCCCTTCTTGCCACGTCACACCCCCACCAATAGCCACGTCACCCCCCACCCTCCTGAAACGCCTTGCTGCGTCATGCGCCGCACAGGTGTACCCTTTTGAACAGCCACGTCATCCCCAACACTCACCTTCCGCCACGTCACACCCACCTGCATCCGCCACATCATCCCCAACCCTCACCTTCCGCCACGTCACACCCTCCTGCATCCGCCACGTCCACCAACAACCAGCCCCTCGTGCCACGTCACACCCTCCTGCATCTGCCACGTCACACCCTCCTGCATCCGCCATGTCCACCAACAACCAGCCCCCCGTGCCACGTCACACCCTCCCACCCCATGCCACGTCACCCCCCACCCACCTGACACGCGTCACCTTGTCACGCGCCGCTCCCGTGTATCATTCCAAACGCCATGTCTGCCCCAACCCTCACATTCTGCCACGTCACACCCTTTTGCATCCGCCAACAACCCGCCCTACTTGCCACGTCACACCCCCACCAAGAGCCACGTCACCCCCCACCCTCCTGAAACGCCTCGCTGCGTCATGCGCCGCAGACGTGTACTCTTTTGAACAGCCACGTCATCCCCAACCCTCACCTTCCGCCACGTCACACCCACCTGCATCCGCCACGTCATTCCCAACCCTCACCTTCCGCCACGTCACATCCTCCTGCATCCGCCACGTCCACCAAATAGCCCCACGTGCCACGTCACACCCTCTTGCATCCGCCACGTCACACCCTCTTGCATCCGCCACGTCCACCAACCAGTCCCACGTGCCACGTCACACCCTCCTGCATCCGCCACGTCACACCCTCCTGCATCCGCCACGTCCACCAACAACCAGCCCCCCGTGCCACGTCACACCCTCCCACCCCATGCCACGTCACCCCCCCACCCACCTGGTACGCATCGCCTCGTCACGCGCCGCTCAGATGGAGCCTTCGAAACCGCCACGTCAGCCCCAACCTTGCCCTGGTTGCCACGTCAACCCCAACCCGCCCCATTTGGCCTGCCACATACCGGAAATGGGTTTGTCTCTAGCAACACTAGCACTCGTGCCTTGTCCACGACGCTCATCCGCGGCGGGGTACCAGCCATAGGCAGGGCTGCCGACCCGCCGGCATAGCTGGCAGGTACTCCACGATGCAGGCCGAGCTGTGCAAACATGGCGTACATCTCAGACCGCAGCGCGTGGAACTCCTCCCGTGTAACAAACGGCTCGTGCTCCGCACTTCCACCTAGGGCACCCATGAGTGGAGGAAAAAGGTGTGAAGAATCTCCTATCTGGCCAAGGGGATCAGCATCTTCTGCAGCAGTCCCGTGTGCCCCCACACTATCACGCTGGGGGGAAAAGGGGAGCTCAGGGCAGGGATTGGTATAAGTGCCTGCCTGATGCCCGGGCGATGGACCGGCGACGGGGGAGACCGCCCTGCCCCGGACAAGAGAAGCGTGTAGCGACCGAAATGGGTATGAGGGTGAGGCAGTGGGGTTTGCGTGACGGGGGCTGGTGGAGGGGATTCGGATTCCTCTCCTCTTGGCGCGCCGGGTGCCGTCTTAGCGACTTTGCTCGGGCCGGTGTATGGCGTGTAGAACCTTGGTGCTCCTGTGGCTAGCGGTGGAACACTCGCTCTTCCGGCAGCCTTCGTTAGCTGCATCCGTTGCACGCTTACAGGTGGCCCAATGCCTGTAACGCAAGGGGCTGAGATGTAGAGGGAGTAGGATAAAGAAATTAGAGTCAATCGGTTTCAATACAGGGCCAGACATGCATGCATAACATCAAAGGTTTGAATCTAAATCGGGTTTAGGGTTGTACTGGTTTGAGACAAGAGGGTTTACCTTGCTTGGTAGATTTGTCGACCCTCTCCTTCCCTGCAGGGGAGAAACATGTTATAGTCACAGTAGGCTCCAATGTGCCTAAAACGAAAGATAGAGTGCACAGTCGGATTTCTGCACAGCGGCTTCAAACGTTCATAGCGATCTGCTCACAACTCTAAATGACCTCATTCAACTTGGATCTGGAGCGCCTTAACGTCGCCTACAATAAGCAATTTAAATCGCACGCTTTCATTAAGAAATGACGACACAGCGTTGGTTTGAACGAACAGCACTATGGCAGCAACATAGTCTTAGAACACAAGATAGGAAGAGTTAGGAAGAGTTACGAGTTGGGAATGACTCCCAGCTCCTACAAACCCCAAGAGCCGAGGTACAGTGATGTGGAACAGTGCCACACTGTCCCCAACCACGAAGGGTCTCGAAACTACCCTTCACTAGGGCCTACACCAAGTGAAATGTTACACTACTCAAAGTAATGGACCTATCTTCAATATCTTGAGGTGCACCCTTTTGGCGAGCTTCGAAATCACTCGAGGCTTGACACAAAGGCTCGGGCTCTTCATCACAAACTCATTCTTGAGTTCTTGATGGGTCTTCTGCACACACCTGCGACACGCCGAACGTTCGACACAGGACAAAATAAAAACCGCGCGCGAGACAGAAACGACCGCGTAACACGCGTCTAGCGATATCTCGCTATTGACTCGACACACACACTCGACATCATGACTCTACATTCACACACAATTATAAGCATGAAATATATATTATCCCATGCCCTCATACCATTCCATACACACATACATGCACGCACACGGACAACAAGCCGAGTGCAAACCGTAGGGTTGCACCAACAAAACAATGGGAAAAAATGGTGTTATTTGGCACGGTTGACCAGATGGTTCAACAACCACGCCACTTTTATTGGCCACAACGCTCACCTTTCTGCTGTCCCTTCGGTTTTGGGGCAGCCTGCGCCTTCTCGTTGTCACCTTTCCGCGGGGTGCTTTTGCGGACGCTGCGACGTTTACCGGCAGGTTCTTTCTTGCCGGTACCCACTGGAACCCCTTTGCCGCGGCCACCCTTTCCTCCTCCATCCCCTTTTGCTCCCTGGCTCCCTTGCTCTTTACCACCCCCTTCACTTTCGACCTTCACCTTACGCGCCTTCTATTTTCCCGATGCTTCGCCGCGCACGGCGTCAACTGCCCCGCGTTTTCGGGAAGGGCGAGTCCGGCCCCCCACCTTCCCTTTACCACTCACCCGTCTGCCACGCCCGCCCCGTCCCTTCACTGGCGCCACATCCTCCTCCTCCTCCTCCTCCTCCTCCTCCTCCTCCTCCTCCTCCTCCTCCTCCTCCTCCTCCTCCTCCTCCTCCTCTGCTGCCTCCTCCTCGTCGTCATCCTCCTCCTCGTCGTCACCCTGTTTCTCCTCCTCCTTCTCCTCCTCCTCCTCCTCCTCCTCCTCCTCCTCCTCCTCCTCCTCCTCCTCCTCCTTATCCTCCTCCTCTTCCTCCTCCTCCTCCTCCTTATCCTCATCCTCCTCTTCGTCCTCCCCGCCATCATTCTCATCTTTTTCATCCTCCCCAACATCCACGTCATCCTCCTCCGCATCCTCTTTATCCTCCTCTTCCTCCGCATCCTCCTCATCCTCCTCCTCCTCCTCCGTATTACTAGGGTGTTCATCGCCCCGTTTCTGCCTCGTCCCTGTGACTGCTTTCTTGCCTCTCTTTCCGCCGGATGTTTTTCTTGCTGCGGGTCGGCCCTTCTGGCGCAATGCTTGACCGCGCGTCTTGCCACTAGCTTCCTTGGCGCCTCGCATTGTCCCAACTTCCTCGCCTCCGGCGTTGTCAGCACTGCTTGTCGTCTGCCGCCTCTTTGCCCGCGTGGTGAGGTCCCCGGGCACGGCGGTGTCATAATCGTCCTCCCCATCGCTCCTCCTCTGCCTACGCCTCCCCCGTCTACCAGAAGGAGGAGAGCCACCGACCTGCCCCTCCGACTCGTGCTCCCCCACCTTGTCCTTATCCAGCACGACTGCAGAAACTTCGACCACAATCGGCTAGAGCAGCGTCAGATGGTGTTGCGATGCCGCCGCCTTGGACTCCTTGGTTACGGCATGCTCAGCGCGGGGATCGCCTCCGTGGTTTCCCCCTGTCGCCGATCCCTCTATCTCCGCCGACAGGAATGCAAGACTCGCGCTCCGTCGCCCCGTAGCTTTGTTGCCGCCAGTGGTGCCGTCGTTACTGAGACTGGGCTCGGTTCCAGCAGAGGCAACATCCGCTTCTTTGCGCACAGTAGAAACACGCTTACGTGGCTTTGGTTTAGGCCCCTTGTCTTCCGCTTTCTTGCCAGACTCCTCTCGACCGCGCTCGACCTTTTTTGGCGCCGCTTTTTTCTGCCCAATGCCTGGTGCGACGGACGCATTAGTTTTTTAGCGCCGCCACCGCTCTCCCTATCTATCTATTGAGACGTCCTCCTTGTCGCGCGGCGGCCGGCCTGTTCCTTCCCCATTGCTTGGTTACGTGTTGCACGAGTCATGGTCGTTGTAGGAAAGCAAATGAGCACATCGCGCGGAAGGGTTGTGCCGGTCTCAAAGGGGTACTGCAACGGAATCCCACGATGGGATTATCGACGGTCGATCACTGTTATCTGTATCCGAAAACCACCGCTTCATCTAAAACTGAACTAGTAGCCACTGAGCAGAGAGCTATGGCCGCGACGGAGAGGAGTGAGTCAAACAGCGAGCAGCGTCAAAGTGTTGGACCAGGGAGTGACGGAAGCAGGTGGGTGGGGCACGAGGGTGGTTGGGGTGGGTTGCGAGACTAGAGAGATTACTGTAACCCTATCATGTCAGTAGATCTGCACTGTGGATGCCCAATTGATCCTGGAGAGGGTTACAGGGGCGTTCATCTGGGGGGTTATGGGCGCATTGACCCGCTACTGAAACAAGCCCTTTTATCCCAATGGTCTAGTGGTTGGGATTCTGACATGGTATCAGAGCGGTCTCGGGTTCGATTCCCGGTGTATGCACATGTAGGCCGTTGCCGCTGTGCTTAGTCCTGGGCCTTCCAGTGTGGGGGGGTGTTAGTAGATCTGCACTGTGGATGCCCGATTGATCTTGAGAGGGTTACAGGCGCGTTCGTCTCGGGGGTTATGGGCGCATTCACCCGCTACTGAAACAAGCCCTTTTATCCCAATGGTCTAGTGGTTGGGATTCTGACATATCAGGCTATATCGCACGGTGTACGTGTAGCCACCCTAGCATAAACCCACCTACCGCTCGATCTCAGCCGCTCATTGGCTTAAGTACCTCTTGGCTGGTGATTGTGTTGCGGGCCAACTCGTTTGAGATGCGTTGGCCAATCACGGTTGCCAACGCATCAATCACTACAAAGGGTACAACGGTTGTGAAACGCCAAGTGCGAAATTAGTAAAATCCCTGCAAAGTACAGTGTTGTCGCGAACGCACAGTGTTGCACATAGCAGCTAAATCAAACTCAAACATACAACAATAGATTTCATCAAACACTTAGTTGCAAATGGTTTAGTATGGGGTTGGGGTAAGTTAATTGGTGATTCTCGCGTCACACCGATGTACTGCGCACTTTTAGGCTTTGCCACATCGGTTTGTCGATAGCGGACGATATTCTAACACGATGATCAATAGTAAACGAGAATCAGTTGTAGTATGGTGATGGATTATCATCTATTCTTGCATGGACATTCAACAAAGTGCTTAGAGGGAGTGGTATGAAGCACAGGCCCTACGCACAAGCGGTGATGCGTTATCGACAGCCATGTTTAGACTGTGCGACGATGCAGCGTTTAGGCTTGCTGGGGTTGCGCGACATGGTGAATCTGTTTGCGTATGGTGATGGATCGTCATCCATTCTTGCACGGACATTCAACAAGGTGCTTAGAGGGAGTGGTATGAAGCACAGGCCCTACGCACAAGCGGTGATGCGTTATCGACAGCCATGTTTAGACTGTGCGACGATGCGGCGTTCTAGCCTGCTGGGGTTGCGCGACATGGTGAATCCGTTTGCGTATGCTGATGGATCGTCATCCATTCTTGCACGGACATTCAACAAGGTGCTTAGAGGGACTGGTATGAAGCACAGGCCCTACGCACGTACTCCTCACCGTGCTTGTCACGCACGCTTGCGACCAAGCTAGCCGTACACCACTGCATAAGGCCCTGCTCACGTCGTAATCACTCTAACAAGGGGCGACATGCCTTGTAGAGAAGGCCTATGCCGTGCTGTCGGCGGTCTGAATCTAGGCTTGTCACGGCCGCGCTACGCGACCATTGTTAGCCAATCTCTCACTAATGTGCCACGATCAAGTGCCAGGCGTGCAGAGATCCAAGTCGTCGTAAACACTTCGCGCTGTGGCGATGAACGTGCTGGAGTCTGAGCCTTCATTGACCGTGAAGTAAAAGCGTTTAGAAGCTTCAAACTGGCTAGTCTCCTCACACTACATTCCACCACTCTTAGACGGATCTAGAATACATGGGCTTTTTGCCACGCGTAGTATGCGAATTCTGCAATAGATGGTTCCCCAACGCCCAGGTTTATGGCGGCCATAAGTCACGGCGGACCCCTTGTCAAGGGCTTTCCGCCATGGCAAGGCCCTCCTCGTCTGCACCGTCTGCCGGTCTACACGCTCTGCTGTTCGTCCACGACATTCTGTCAGACGCTCCCCGCTGCACCCGCTTCCCCTACCGCGTCTAACACGTCCAACACCGACGGTATGAATGATCCTCCTCGCGTGCCCAAAGCTAACAGAGACGCAACGCCCTCGGCTGTGAACGTGGGGGCTCCTGAAAGTGAGCATCAACCGCCTCCCGGAACACATGCCTGTGACACGAGTGAGCATCCGGAGAGCCGCCGTGAAGAGAGTCACGCCGCACCGCCGACATGCATCTCCGAGCAGAGCAATGTCACGCCCCTCAATCCGCTTGCGTTGAAGCTGTTGCATTTCGTGCGGCGCGTAAATGGCGGAATGGGAATGGCGGAGATCGACATCAATGGCCTGCTTCAGCTCGTGGTGGAGCCCGGCCTTGCGCCTCTTGTGATCATAGAGATCCGGAACAGCAAGGATTTGGAGCGGTTCGAGATGGAGCACTTGGTCGGGCTCAATCGCGGATGGTCAATGGCGACCTTCGAGATTGACGCTCATCCGCCACAGTGCCTTCTCTTTCAGAACTCTGCGCAGGTAAGTTGAATCTAAATCCGTGGCTGTGAAATGCAGATTCCGCATCCATTTGGTGCTTGTTGAACGTTGCCTCTGTTCGGCTTGTGTGAGATCTGCCCCACCTTCAACGCCACTAACCAGGGTTTGGTTCTCTCCTGCTCTTGCCAGAGTACGCCAGGCGTTTGTCAAACTGTTTGGGCATACCAACAATACGCCCGACTTCAAGCTCAAGGCTGGTGTTGATGAGGACCCTGACACAGGCGAGCGTCGCTATACCACGCCAGAAACTGGAACGTGGTGGAACGACGCTCAGGTATGGAAATACCCCGTTGCCACCCAAAACCAGAAGAGTGCGCATGCCTCCGTTGATGCGCTGATGTGTAGGGAGCATCTTCTGTGTGTCATGTTTGTGGGGAGTTCTTTGAAGCATGCTTAGTCCGCCTGGTGACAAGTTGCCTTGTTGGTGTTTGACCGTGTGCCTTTTCCCTCTTTGTCATGCTTTGCAGGAACACTTTGGATGGTCCGAAGTCGTGGGGGGTATCATCCTATACTCGGATGTGACGCACATGAGCAACAATGGTCGGAAGAAGGCGTGGCCGCTAATGATGACGCTTGCAAACATCTCCCAGGCCAAGCGATGGGGGAAAGCCGGGCACACGCTACTTGCTCTCCTTCCTATCCCCCCTTTTGTAATGTCTGCCGTGGAGAAGGTGATGCTCTTCCAGCGATGCGTCATTACCGTGCTGCAGCCGCTTCTCAATGGCATGGAAAGGTCCGTTCTCAATTTCTGTCTTGCTATGTCGTCACCCAATCAACGTCATAGTATGCGCAGCGTTTCGGTATGTAACAGTCCCCCTTGTCCCTCTTCGCCGATGCACAAAGCCGAAATCCTTGTTCCTGTTGCCACAATACCTGTTCCTTGCAGCAGGTTCCGTCTCAGGGACCCTTTTGGTGATTGGCAAACCGTGCGGCCCCTGCTGTACGCCTGGGTGTGCGACTACCCTGAGAGCGGCAAGATCAGTTGCACACTCTTGCATGGATCGCGGATGCTGTGCAGCATCTGCTATGCTGCAAAGGTGAGAAAATATGCGATCGGCGTGCCTTCAGAACCATCGCCATCCGAATGTCACATGACGGACCTCATAATCTCACCTCCCTTACTTGTTCATCCCATCCCACTCTTTGTGCTACACCAGGAGCATCTGGTTGCTGTAAAGGCATGGAACACGCTGCGCACGGCCTGAACAGCAGCAATGGATCATGAATAAGGCGGCAGGGTTGACATCAAGCCAGGACGACCAATGCAAGACCTACTCGACCTACCCGGTTGAGGTGAGCGACCTGTTCCCCGGGCGACTGTGTAGTCTACGCACTCCGTGTTGCTCAAACCTTGGGGAGATGTGCTATACCCCATTGCACTGTCCCACATGTTGTGTGCCGAGTCTCTCAAATACCTTTCTCTACCATTCCCCACCACATCCCCTTTTCCAGTGTGTGCTCTGGAAGTGGGATGTCCCAGGGACTGTGTGGGGCAATCCCTACCTCGTTATCATGCCTGACATCATGCACCAGACGGACCTTGGCATGATGAGCCACATTGTGGCTGTCGTGCGCAAGATGAAGAAGCAGCGCGTGAAGCAGATGGACAGGTCAGTGCCTTGGGGGATTAGATTTGTTGCTCGTTGTCAACAACACTCCAATCTGCACTTTCCTCCTCCTACTTACATGTTTCTATATTTGTGCCTGCCCTTGAACTGTTGTGTATGCGCAGGCGCCTGTCGCTCATTCGCGACCGCACGCGCTTGAACCAACTGCGCCAGCCAGAGAGCGCCTACTTCGAGACTGGAGCATGTGTCGCGGCCTATGAGCACAGGGCCGTCATGCAGGTGTGCAAGCCATGGTGCATGTGATCATCTTGTGCGATAGCATGCACCATGCAGAAGTGGCATGCCGATTCCAGACTACAACACACCCCTTGCTGCATCTCAGTACCCTCTCTCCTGCTTTAATTAATTCCGCCTCGAACGCTTTTTGCTCATCTTCTTACACATGTCCCAACTACTCATGCCCCCCTGCTGTGATAAACCCTGAAATTTGCAGGTCATGGTGTTTGTCTTTGCTGGCCTGCTTTGCCAGCCCCAGATGGATGCTGTTCGTGCCTATCTTGGCTGGTACCTCTTGTGTTGCCAGCCAACAGGGCACACCGAGCGGTCCTTGCGGGATCTCAAGAAGAAGACCTCCCGGTACTATTAACATGCATGTACAACCCTGGGCATTGCATGAATGCCTAGCCACGGCACCTAAGCTGTTGCAGTAACCTATCTTCACAGGATGTTGCTGATAAACCATGATAGTATATCAAATAAAGTAGGCTGCGGTATGTTGTAGTAGACTCTGATGTCCTTGTGAAAGCATGTTCGATAAAGCATATGCTGTCAACTCCCACTCCCATCAGGCTGGTTGAGCATTTGCAGGCTGCTTTTCCAAAGCAGCCATCCTCCTGGTGCCTTGTGAAAACCCACCTCATGTCGCACTACATTGACTCCATTCGCCGGGCGGGTCATCTCACGGAATTCAGCACCAACATGTTCGAGCACTTGCACGGACCGTTGTTGGTGTAAGGGCCTAATAAACTCAAGCTATTAAGACTTTATCACACTTAAAACCTCTCCTCGGGGTCACCTCCAAGGGTCCTTGGGTGCCTGGTACAAGACCAGCCCCTATCCTCGGGTCCGAGTTTGTAGAGAGAGGGATCAAGAGGGACTTAGTCAAAACAGCAAGAGTACCTTGAACGTCGCGCAGCGTATCGTGCAGACCGTCGATCGGATTAAGCTGAGAATTTCCTATATCGAAGCTCACTCTAAGAGCTTTAAAATAAGCCAAGTTGCCTCGCGAAAAGTTCTGCCATTACGAAGTTATGGCTCGGACAGCGTTAGCCTAGCGTTGGAGTGCTAGCGTACTAGCGTTGACTCGGGTAGCGTTCCGCCATCGCACCGCGTAGAAAAGAAATTCCAGCAAGGAAGGAATTCGCTTGAATCAATTTCACTATATTCAGGTACAAACAGAGAA